GATCTGATTCTCAAGTACATACTCTCCACTGTTGGTTCTCTATTGATTTTTATTTCATTTAGTGTAACCTTCACTTCTTCCCTTATGTTTTTGCCATACTCAGTTAGTCCTTTGACCATCCTGATTACCAATGTATTGAAACCCTGCATCTGATAGGTTGGTTATCTCCATTTTGTTTAGTTATTTTTCTGGAGTTTTGTTCTGTTCTTTCATTTGGGCCATACTTCTTTGTCTCCTCAATTTGGCAACCTCCCTGTGTTTGTTTCTGTATTAAGTAGAGCTGCTTTGACTCCCTGTCTTTGAAAAAGCACCTGTAATTTGTGTGGGGTGGAACCTTAGGTAATTGCCAGGGTGGGGCAAACTACTTCACCGCTTTGTGGCTCTGTATGAGGGGAGGACAATGCCACTGCCTGGCTTCTGGTGGTGTGCCAGCAGTTGGCCCAACTGTAGTCACTTCACCCACGCCCTATATATGACTGGTGCCCTTCCAGCCCTTGCCCTGGTGGTGAATCTCAGATTGGGCATGTTTCTGAATGTTCTAAGTCTGTGAAGGCCCTTTAAATGGACTCTTCTGAAAATCTGGCAGTTTCTTCCACTGCCCCAACCCCTACTGGTTTTTACAGCCAGAAGTTATGGGGATTTAACTTTCTAGTACTAGAACCCTGGGCTATGCAGTCTGACCTGTGATCGCTTGTTCCCAAGGTATCCCTCCTGATTTTTATCCACCACATGCGAGTGTGGGACCACCTGTTTCCCACTGTCCCTCTGGTGTGTCTCTGGGCCACTCAGCCCATCTCCACGACTCTGTCCCTCCTACCCATCTGGATGAATGTGGCTTCTTTAAATCCTTGGTTTTAAACTTCCATACAGCTCAGATTTCTGGTGGTTCTGGGTATTATCTGTTTTGAGATATAGTTGTAATTCTCTCTGTGGTAGCTTGAGGAGGTGAAGCACGTCTCTCTATGCCTCCACCCGACCAGAAGTCCTTGGAAAACTGGCAGTTCTTAATAAAGTTATACATATACCTATTTTATGACCCAGCAATTGTGCTCCTAGGTATTTACCCATGATAAACTTTTATTCACAGAAATGCTTATTTATTCATGTTTACAGAGGCTTAGTTCATAGTTATCAGAAGATGGAAACAAATGTCCTTCAGCTGGTGACAAGATAAACAAACTGTGGTATATCCATCCATAGGATGGAATCCTACCTGGAAAAACAAATTGGGACGGACTACTTATACACGCAACATGGATGAAACTCCAATATGTATGCTAAGTGTAAGAAGACAGACCCAAAGGGCTATGTATTATATGACTCCATTTATCTGACACTTTGGAATGAGTAAAACTTAGTGATAGGCAGAAGATCATGTCAGGGGCTGGAGATGGGGGAAGAACTGATTGCAAAGGGACATAAAGGACTTTGGGGGGGGTAATGGAACAGTTTTTTATCTTGATTGTAGTGGTGGTTACATGACTGTGTTTGACAGAAAACTGTACACTAAAGAAGGCATATACTATATGTAAATCATTCTGTCATCTTGAAAAACAAAACAGAGCACTGGGGGGGTGGGCTGGGATGGGAGTAAAAGACAGAAAACTGTACCTGAACAACAATTAAAATAAATAAATTAATAAATTAATTAATAATAAAAAGAAAAAACAGTACTTTTTTGAGTTTGGTATTAAAGCCAAATTTTTTTAAAAAAAGGATCTCTCAGAACCTAGCAAAATCTAAGGGGCAGATTTCTTTATAAAATTTCCTGATAGAATTGATTTTTCCATTCTATTTTAAAGAAATGGCCTTAGAAATATTCAATGATTTCAGCTTAGTGATATGGCTGGACCTTTTTTTTTTTTTAACTTAAATGCATTTTATTTTTAGACAACCTACATGACAGGTTTTTCCTTAGAAATAATGCCTCCAGTCCAAATAAATCAAGGTCAAAATAAACGAAGAGCTCCAGATAACATCAGTTCCGTTTGTTATGGTGTTGGATGAAAAGCAGCAGCCAGCCCAGGCCGGGTGGCTCAGTTGGTTGGAGCGCTGTCCCATGTACCAGAAGGTTACAGGCTCGGTCCTCATCAGGACACACACCTAGGTTTGTGCGGGGAGAGCACAGGAGGCAACCACTGGATGTCTGTCTTTCACATCGACGTGTATATCTCTCTAACTCGAATCAATAAACATATCCTCTAGTGAGAATTTGTTTTAAAAAAGAGGCAGCCAGTTAGGATGACAGGTGATACATCCAAATTGCCAAACTTGTTAACATTTTCCCATTTCTAAGCCATTCCTAAAAGAGAATCATCCGTGGGGCCAGCAGAGCGCCCATGCCATCCGGATGCATGTTTTCACCACTAGAAAACTGGTAGATGTTGAGATTAGCAAGAATGTGCTCGATTTGTGTTAAAGACCCTGTCATAAGAGCTTTACTCTTTCTGGTCTCTGTTTTTCAAGTTTCCCTTTGATAGATTTTGTGTAATCTCTGATGGACTTCCTATAGGCTTCTTTTGTGAAGCTTTCAGGTGCCCCGCCTGCCCTTGGGGACTTTAGCGGAGACGATTCCACCAATAAGCGAGTCATCCATATTATCTTCTCTTACCGATCATCTTCCCTTCCACCTCTGTGCACAGTCCCTCTGCATCTCCGGGATCTTTTAGATATCGGAAACCATCTCATCATGGTGGATGAGGTCCTGGTGGGTGACCATGACGGCTGGCAGCTGGAGGGAGAGGACAGTGGCGCTGACAGGAGGAGCACTGAGTTGCCTAAGTGCTGCCTCAGTGGCGCCGGGCGAAGGACGGGGAGTGGGCAGAAAAGCAGGGCTGTATCTTTTTACCTGGTGCAACTGTACAGTAATAAAACCCTTTGTCTGTTAGAAAAAACAACCCACAAATAACCCCTAGATTAAATATCTCCAAAATATAAACCAATCCACAAGGATCACAACAGTTAATGGCGAAAGACAGAAGGCTTCAAAGAACAACACGTGCACTACCGCTTCTCTTTAACAACGTGCTGGTGGTTCTAGCCAGCATGAAGAGAAAAAAAGAAATATAAGTCATTTCAATTGTAAAGGAAGAAACAAAACTGACTTTATTCACAGATGGCATGATCTTCTACGCAGAAAATCTGATGAATCTACAAATACGACACAGAGCTAAGGAGTGAATTAGTACGGCAGGATACAAGATCACCTGTACTGACTGAACTGTATTTCTGTATACCAGCATTGCACAATCAAACACTGAAATAAAACAACCCCTGAGCATCTGTAAAGGTATGTAGAAATATGGCATCTTTAAGGATAAATCTGACAAGAAACACTGAAGACCTCTAGAGTAGAAACTACAAAACAATGCTGAGGGAAAACAGAGACCTAAATAAATTGTGAAATGTATCTTGTTCAGGAGTCAGAAGACTCAATACAGTTCACACGTCAATTCTCCACATATTGATCTATAGATTCAATGTAATCTGAAAAAAAATCCCAGAAATTTTATAAAGGTAGAAGTTGACAAGCTGATTCTAAAATTCAAATGTACTGCAAAAGACCTAGTCTAGCCAAAATAACTTGAAGAAAAAGAGCAAAGAGGACTAATATTACCTAATTTCAAGACTTAAAATAAAACCAGAATAATCCAGACTGTGGTTTTGGTATCTGTAAATATAGATAAACAAATCCATGGAATAGAATACATCATCCAAAAATAGATTCACACACTGATCAATTTCCTGCCAACAAAGGCATAAAAACAATTCAGTACCAAAAGGAAAGCCAACAAATGGTGCCTGAAAAACTGCACATACACATTTTTTAAAGACTGATTTTAAGAGAGATAAATTCTAGAAAATTTGATATTATTTATAGTAACAGAAGAACAGAGCTAAGGTTGCGTAGGGTCTAAAAGTGGGTGGGGGACGGGTGGGTTTAAGGACAACAGGGCACGAGGAAACTGTGAAGGTCATGGCTACGCTCAGTGTCTCCATTGTGATGATTTTTTCCCAGTGCCAAAACATGTCAAAACTCTGTCACATGGTACCTTACGAAAGGCATTTAAAAAATGAACAAACAAAACTAGTACATTTATACAACATAAATCAATGCAACAGTTTTAAGAAATAAAGGAGGGCTAATATAGATCGAAGATTTCCAAGCTACTAAATGAAGGCAAAGTACAGAGCACTATAAATAATCTGCTGCCATTTGTGATTTTTGTTTCAAACAAAAAAGGATACTCAACCAGCCCATCCAGTAATTGTTTCTACACGCATAGAATATCTCTGGAAATAAACCCAGAAACTGATGAGAGAGAGAGAGAGAGAGAGACTGAAAGAGAGAGAAGGAGGAAGGGAGGAGACAGAGGGGAGAGTGAGAGGGAGAGAGAGGAAAACGGGGAGAAGCTGGGGTTTGAGGTAGGAGAGAAACTCTTTCCACTGCAGACCTTTTTGAACTATGATCCCTACCCCTGCCACAGATGTATTACTTTTTAAAACAAACAAATAATAAAATTACCCACTGATTCTATTTTAGGGCGCTGGTTATTAGGAACACGTGTGGAAGTGCCCAAACACACATGTAAAAAGTTGATATGTATGATAAATTATTTAGCAAAAACAAAAATTGGAAAATTGGCTTGTATTTAATATAATGCAGAACACACTCATGCCACCTCCCTACCCTCTCTCAGAGAAATCAAAAAGCACCCAGACTGTCAACAATTGCCTCTGGGGATGGTTTTAAAGGGGGAGGTCTATGTAGTGACTTTAAGTTTATGAGTTGAGGGAACATTTTTCACAAAGTATATATTTTCTTTTAAATGAAAAACTCTCGCCCTGACTGGTGTGGCTCAGTTGGTTGGGCATCAATGTATAATCGACATATAACTCAATGATGATGTTTAAAAATGTAAGTATGTTACTGGTTTAGGTTTGCAGGGTTGCCATAGTAGACAGAGCCAGTTCTGCAATGGACTTCAGATGATACTCACCCTTTTCCGCGCTTCAGATTTCTGGAAGCACTCATGCTGTATGAAGGTGGCTGCCACCGAAATCCTGGCAGGGGGTGTGTGGTCTGCATCCAGCATACTCACTGCCCGCTCCAGAGTCATCTCCACGTCTGCATTCCTAGACGAACAGTCACAGGTTCAGCAAAATTCCAAACCCGCTCTCTCCTACCTATCAACCTGACCCTCCAGAGATGACTCAGCTAATACTGGAAAGTGCCTGGAACATCAGTCTTGCCTCCTTCAGGCAAAAGAAAAGTCAGTACCTGAGATCAGAAAGTATAGGAAGCTAGCAGCAGAAATACTTCAGTTCTGGTTAGACTGGCGTCAGAAAATCATCACTGAATTGAGCAGATTCATAATAAATGAGGTCTGTCCAGAAAAAGTGCAGCCATTGTTAATATAAAGGTTTGCATGACATCAGTGCAGCCTGGCAGACAAACAGAGTGGCCTGGAACGCCTATGCATGAACAATGACAACCTCACTGTACTAATCAGTGGGGGCGGTACACACTGTTGAGTGAGCATGTGTACAATTTTCAAAATGACTAAGCACGTAGAGCAACGAATCTGCATCAAATTTTACGTTAAGCTTGAACATTCCTCCACAGAAACTCTTTGGATGATTCAGAAGGCTGCAGCTATAAGCATCTGGTGATTGGCAGCTTCATCACAACAACATGCCCACTCATACATCATGTCTTGTGCGAGAAACATCAAATCACCCAGGTGACTCGGCCCACCTACAGCCCAGATTTGGTGCCCTATGACTTCTGGCTTTTCCCAAAACTAAAATCACCTTTGAAAGGGAAGAGATTTCAGACTGTCAGTGAGATTCAGGAAAACACAACGGGGGAGCTGATGGTGATTGGGAGAACTGTGTGAGGTCCCCAAGTGTCTACTTTGAAGGGGACTGAACATGCATAATGTTTCTTGTATTGGCGTCAATAATAAGAAACCATTTTTCATATTACATTATTGGATACCTTCTGAACAGACCCCATATACCAAAGAAACTGAACTGTGTTTCAGATAAATACGGGTAGTGTGATAGTCACACCTGAAAAGGGAGTTTAAAGGAACAATAAGAGTTCCTTTAAGAGTTCCAATAAGAGTTCCAGGTGAAATTTAAAACAAATCTGGTCATAGAAATAAAAAATTATTGCTACCCTGGTCATGTCAGACCTGTAGAGAAAACACCTTTCCTGGAAAATCATTAGATTTTCCTCAAAGCTTCTCTGACTGTGTTATTTGACCTGAAAATGAGTTTTTAAAAAAGCATTTTAAAAGTGTTCTTATTTAATGAAAGTAACAATATATAAAAAGTAAAAGCCAGGAAAACTGAGTTCATTTTGTTAAAATAAGTCATGCTGGTATGACAAAATCCATGAGGAAAGGTAATGATTGAATGCAATGATAAATACGCTTTTTCTTAAAAGAACAATTTTATACACATTCTCTTACCATTTGCTTTGCTATTGTAATGACGTTGAATTTATGTCTAGCTAGCAGCCTATGTCCTTTACGAATTCGAAGTATTTACAGTGGTGATGAAATCTGATGCCGTTTGACACAGAGAGGATATTTATAGAGGACAATTAAAACTGCTACTTGTAAAATAAAAACCGGTACCTCCCAAATGCCTCATAGAACTACAGTTTTCTCCCCTTTTATTTCTGCCTGGAGGGTGACCAGATTACGCAGTCTGTATCAGTGTGGTTTGGCTCCCCTAATCATTGCCTCAGAGAAATTACTCAGGACGCTAACATCTTAGAGTCATGGCCGAAGACATGCTTTAAAGGCAGGACCCTGCTTTGGCTTCAAAGAGGGGAGGCTGATTCATTCCAGGTAATAAACTCCAAAGACATCCTGGGAGGGTGTTTTCCAGCACCGGCTAGCAAGCACAGTGAGTAAGTCCTCTCATGTCGGGCTACCCCCAGTACATACACATGTGCTCTGACGTGAGTGTGTGTTGTGTTGCGAATGGTGTTTGTACGTGGGTGGATGTGGCACAGGGGAGGGGATAAATGAGCCTCGTGACTAAGAACTAATACTCACTGCCTCTGAAACACATGTTCAAACTCAGAAGTGTTACCTCATGAGTGTAAGGGCATTAAAAATGAGGCAGCAGAAACAGTTCTGGCATCCACACTGGGAATTATGTAATGATCTCATATTTTAAAATGTGCCTCAGGAGTCAGTTTCGTTGGTAAAAAGTGTAGGCTATGACCATTAAAATCAGAATTTGAGTCATTTAAAAAAAACATAAAGTTTTTAAAGGAGATGGAAATAACTGACATGCATAGACTCCAATGCCTTTAGAGAGAAATCTGGACTCTACCAATCTCAATCTCAGTGATAGTTTTAAGTCTTTAGCATTTACCAGTACAGGTGTTGTTATTGATGAGAGATCACTCACAGCATAAGAATACCCTTTTGTTTAACACAGCTTAAAAAAAAAAAGATTCAACCATTAATCCACTTCATAAGTCATAAATGACTCAGAGGAGTTTGAATTTCCCAAAAATAATTCCATTACTCGAATCCTCTAATTTTTTTTTAATGTGATTCACAAAGAAGCTCTGCATTCACTCCTAGCCAATCCAATGCCATTTACTTTATTATTAAGGAAAGTTCCCACACTGAACAAAGGCCCCCTCAATGGAAGGTTTGCTAGAGCTGTCGGGGCACCCGTTTCTGGGTTTGTGAGTGTCTGTGATGCCCAGGTCTAAAACGCAGCAATGTTCTGACCCCACTCTGGCTCTAATCCCACCACCCTCCGTCCCCTTCCCCCCTCTTTCCCTTCCTCTGATGGGCCAGTCCATCTAACCACACCACACTTTCAATCCTTTCCTACACCCTGCAGGTCTCTTCACAAACCACTTGGATTTTCTCTAGAAAGTCCATCCTTCTACTTAATTCTTGCCTATTCATCTAGACTCACTTCAAACATGCTCACTTCTGTGACATCGGTCTTGTGCCCTATTCCAGCTAGAGCTACTCCTTTCCTTCTGTTCTCCTGCAGCACTCCTCCCTGGCGTCCCCTGCTGTTTCTCTTTTGTCCTCCTTCCTTCTTTCCCCCTTTCCTTCTCCCCTCCTACTCATTCATCATCAAGCACTTCCTGAAGCCTGCAAAAATGTGGCTTGGAAATGGGGTTGGGAGGGCGGGGAGATCAGGAAGAGCAGTTGTCACCGGGACCCCATTATCCCGGTAGCACACTTGCCCGAACTGAGTCTTTTCAACACATTATCAGTTAACATGTTAACGCAATGTCAATGTAAATAAGGAATGTAGGGAGGGGGGCATATAAACTATTCTTGGTCAGAATATGAGCTAATATTTAGCAATAAATAACAACCTGTATTTTTTTAATGTGTGCAATCCCATCAGTAACAGCACAGCGCGGCTGCAGGCTGGTCCCCAGATGCTAGAATAGGGCTACACCTCCAAGGCCAACAAACACTAAGCGACGAATGGAAATCTGCATGTGGTCACGGACACTGAGGAAATGCAATTCCCCTGCCTCAGAAGGATTTTAGGTGTGCTGTGTGGAGTATAAGGGGACAAAAAGTTAATGGGAAAAAATACAATAAAGATTAGATTTTAAAAAGTGTGATAAAAGCTAAAAGCACCATTTGAAAGGTGACTTTGGAGTAGATCTGTGTTTCTAGAAACAATATTGAGGGCACCACAAAAGTCTTAGAGGAAGCAATGAAGCCTTGAACTGGGCTGTTAAAAATGAAAATAGTTGAAAGAGACTTTAAAGAAGTCAGTAATTAAGAGGATGTGGAGGGAAGTTGATGTGACATATTTTATGCTCTATGCCACAGACCTGCCTGGTTTAGACCTGTCCTAGAGACCCAGTCTCTCCCCTTCATCTCCTTAGCACACTGTCTTCTGGTCTCTGAGTTGCTGTATACACTAGTATGTACCACACAGTATACATAGCACTTGATGATGCATCTTACTTTCCTTTTCACTGATCCTCTCTCACCTTCATATATCCCTCTCAATTTTTCTCTTATAGTTCTTACTGCAGTCCTGTGTATCCCGAGGAACCAATGTTCATTTACTAAACCACCCATCCCCCATAGGTGCGGAAATCACATTTTTGGAAAAACTGATCTAGAAGTTTTTTTTTTTTACTTGGTGCTTTCTTGAATCATCTTCTTCAGTCTGATTTAGGACAGGCATTGACTGTCGGTCTCTCTTTTACTCCCAGGTCTTGGCTTTCAGCTGCATTAGTAACTGTCTGGGCAGCCATTCTTCTTTTAGAAAGAAAGATCCATGGTTTAATACCTTATTTCATTACACAGGTTTATAGTTTTATCTAGCTACTCTACAGGAGTGTTCCACAAATGTGAGACAACAGTTCTTTACAGGTGGGACTTTCATTAAACATAAAACAGTAGGTTCTAAAAGTGGGGGCTGGGTAGACATGAAATGTGAGACAAGGCCAAGGAGAGCTGCCTCGGGAGCAGGGCTCTCAGAGAACAGTCTGAGACAGTGACACGAGCCACAGCAAAGCAAGGAGCAGAGTCAGGCACCGACGCCACCTGGATGGTTTATTTTCCTCATTATAGGAAATGCCCCTGACTCCCCTTTTCACAGAAAGCAAAATTTTCAAAGAGAGTTCATTTCTATGATTTCTGATCTCTAGAATGGCAACTTTAGGAATCATCAAGAATTGATTTCTTGCCTTTAATTTTAAATTTCTTGACCCCCAACTATTCCTTCTCTTTTTGAAATATAATTATTCTAATACGATTTACCCTATACGTTCAAGCAATAACCTGAAGTGGTGTGGTTAATACTTCATCTAGAATTTGAGTAACCAAAGAACCTAGATGTTAAGAAGGAGAAAGTTTAGATTCCATTTCTTCCTCCTTTAATCCCTTCATTCTCTCACCAAACATTTACATGGGGTGCTGAGAATATAAACATGATAAGACACACTCACAAAAAGCTCAAAGTCTAGAGGAAGAGAAGATAAGTAAATGAATAAGCTCCACATATTTTTCAGGGAGAGGTACCTACACAGTGCAGATAACTGGGGCACCTGGTGCAGACAGACTAGGCTGAGAAGGGAGTGGTCAGGGAAAGGTGGTATCTGAGCTGAGCCGAGCAAAACCAGAGCTAATGGGGGGAAAAGAGATGATGGTAGACAGACGGACAGATGGATGAATGGATGGAGGAAGAGAGGGAGGGAGGAAGAAAGGAAATATATGAGTGAATATCTCTCATTGTGGGAAATAAAAGAGGTTCCGAGTGGTGTGTTTACGTGAGGGTGTGTTTGGGGGTGGTGGCGATGAAGTGAGAAGATTAAGAGTAGAAAGGTGACACTGGACAAGCAGCGGGGGAACAAGGGCCTTGTGTGCCATGTGAAAAAGCAGAGAAAGTTGGTGGGATTAAGGAAAGGTTACAAAATGGAGAGAGAGCAATAACCAGATCTGGGAAGCCCATTCTAACACTGCTGGAGAACGGTTCTGAGCGAACAGGGCAAGAGGCAGACAGACCCATGCAATGAAGATGGGAAAAAAGCAAAAGTTTCAGAGCATTAAGGAGATAAAAATATGACTTGGTGTTATGTCATTGGGGAGGGTGAAGATAAGAATGACTTTCAGGTTTAGTATGAGGAGATGGTTAGGAGTAGAGGGCCTAGAGGAGCTGATAAATTTAGTTTTGGCTATACTGACTTGGGAAGTCCAAGAGGTTATTGGAAATACAGGGTGGAACAAAAGTAGTTTTATAGTTGTTTGAATAGAAAATAATACAGTAATTAATAAACAAAAATGCAAGAATAAACTCTGTGTTTTACATACCCACACTTGTAAACCTACAGTTGCCTCACCCTGTGTACACAAGCCTAGAGTTCAGGATAGAGGATGGAGCTGAAGACAAGACTCTGGGACTCATCACAAGATGTAAGTGTGGTACACAGGGCCTCTCTGGAAAGAGCAGCAAGACTTGGGAGAGAAGGATTACTGAAGACGACTTCTCTGAGCATGCAGAAAGTCTTTCCAGAGAAGACTAAGAAGAGAGGTCTTGGGGAGGTGAGTGGGAAACCAGGGGAAGAGAGAATTTCACTAACAGGGTGTTAAATGCTGCCCAGAGGCTGAGCACTGTTAAGGACTGAGTGAATATGTGTGTGTGTGCTTTGGCTGTGGCCCTAAGGCAGTCACTGGTACGTTGCGGGGAGAATGATTCGGTCAAACAGTGGGGACTCACACCATGTGGCAGCGGGTTGATGAGAGGCTGGGAATCCACAGGCTGCTTTACGGAGCCCGGAGGCCCAGCCATGAGGGAAGAGAAGAGTGCCAGGTACGGGAGGATGTGGCAGGATAGCTTTGTTATTGTCAAAGTCATTTCGTTAAGATCATGTGGAGCACAAATCTTAGAATTAGAATAGGCATTCAATAAGTTCTAAATTAGCCATTTAAAAGCCTTGATCAGCATTTCCCTTCCATAGTTACCTCACGTATTTTTCTTCTCTATAAGTGAGTCCATATTGACAAAGTTCTGCTTTCTACAAGAAATGTTTGAAGTCTCATGCGCAATTTTGCTTTATAAAAATATTTCCTGCTCTGGCTGGTGTGGCTCAGTGGACTGAGCACTGACCGGCCTGTGAACCCAAGGGTTGCCGGTTCAATTCCCAGCCAGGGCATATGCGTGGGTTGTGTGTGGGCCGGGTCCCCAGGAGCAGGCATGAGAGAAGCAACCACACATTGATCTTTCTCTCCCTCTCTTTCTCCCTCTGTAAAAATAAATAAATAAAATCTTTAAAAATTTTTTCCTGCTTCAATTTTAGACTAACCCTAACATCTCTTATCCACAGTACCTGCATGGTCAATGTGTCTACAGTACAACTTCACTTAAAGTGACAACGAAAGGTAACAACTTCCATTAAGCAACATTAGAATTCAAACAAAAAAATCACAGTCAATGTTTTACCATAATGATACATCATGATTTCAGGACTTGTGACTTAATCATCCAGCCATTTCCCAATCTTTCTCTTTGTACCTTTCTCCTCAGTTTATAAAATTTGCACTCCAACATTAAACTTGAAAAAGGGTTAAGTTCCAAAGACCAGATTAGTCAAGCCATACAGTAAAAGTAAGACAGGCACAGGAATGACTTTGAATATCTAATTTTTTTAATTGTTTGGTGTTACAAAAAAAAATACCCTCGAAGTCACCGACACTAGAATCAAAAAGTAGAAGTACTGGGTGTAAAAGGCGGGGAAGCAACATTTGAAAATGAGCTGCCTCTCCTTAAATCTTTCTTATAGTAGTAGTTACCAAAATAGCTTCTCAGGTTCAATAAGTCTTTTTGCCTTTTTCCTTTCTTTTTTCTTCTTTTTTTATTGCAAGAAAATGAATGCAACGATCCACTTCTTGGTCTACTTTGGTGTCAGCTCTCATTCAGTCGAGGTAGTCGCCCTTCAGCTAGCATCTAATTTGGAACAACAGATAGGTTGACTGTCCCATTTCCCTGCAAAGCTGCCATGTGAGCAGGTAGCCTGGTCTCTGTCTCTGAGGTAAAGAGGAGGCTAATATGTCAATTAGGCAGCCACCTGAAAAGTCGTTATTTTAATTGCTAATCTCATGAACCCTTTCTCTGCAGCTGCAGAAGTGCCAGCTCCTGCAGTAGGGGCTGTGGGAACAGGATGTGCTGGCACTGCATGCCCTGCAGACCGAGAAGGGGACTCACCTGATCTGGGAGTCGCTGTAAGTGGCTCTCTCGCTGTGCATGGTCCCACTTCCTCCGGCTGCTACCTGGCCAACGGTCATGTGCGTCCTCCTTCCGCCTGCATCTACAGTGACACTAGGCCCGGCTTCCCGCACCGTGCGGGTACTGTGGAAGGAGCTCTGATGCCAGGAGGACCGAGCGCCCCTGTTCTGAGTGATGGGCTGCAGAGGCACCAGCGGCCTGACCTGCCCAGGGGCAGGCCCCGAAGCTAAGTAGTTCTCCTTCTCCAAGAGGTTGTTCAGGCTGTGACTGGTCCCAGGCCTGGGGTACGTGAGCACCACTGGGTTGAGAGGGGCACTGTCAAAGACGCTGTCGTTAACAGACCCATACTGGACCTGTCTGTGATAAGTGTCATAGTAGCGCTGCCTGCTCACAGGCCGGGAGGTGAAACCCACAATTTCTGAGCGCGCGTATCTTGGGGGCATAAGGAGGGTGGATCTCCTGCTGTCTTCATGCCGCAGTGTGTGGCCGGCATGGCTTCTCTGGCTGTACTGGTGGTCGCTGTGGGAGTAATGACCCCTCTCAGGGCTGCTGTCTGGAGAAATCTCCAGTCTTCTCAGAGGCTGCCTCAAGAATCTTTCTTCCACCGACCTCTGTGAATTGTACCGCGTAGTTCCTCTCCCCCAATGACCTTCATAAGCCGAGGTTACGCCTGACTGCATGAGAGAGAAATAAAGTTTAAGTGGCACAAATCAGTTTTTATCTTGTTGGGGACTAACTATTCCAGGACTCTTATACAAGGCATCCATTTCTCTGAGTCATATGGAGAAGTTCAGCCCTTTCTGGGTAAAATCTATTTTTAAAAAAGACTTAGTTGACTTGGTTAATGAGTTATTTCCATTAGCATTTGAAGCTGTGTGACGTCCCCAGTTTTCTATGGTGTCCACACAAAATCAATCTTTTTATAATTCATTTAGGAAAGAGTAATATTTGGGAAAGGTAACATTAAAAACATAATTTATGGGAGTTGAAAAACATTTTCATGGTTATCTAATAACCAGTGTTACATTCTTGGGTAGCCTACCTTTAGCACGTCATAGGTTTTGGTAACAGGGGAACGCCCAACAGCAAAATCATTTTCAACTAAGTGTAGGTTGTAGACATACTCAGGAACACTGCTGGTTCGGTGAAGGCTTCCTGCAATCAAGCATATATATTAAAATAATGTAAGTGAGCCAGTCAGTAGTTAAACATCGTATAACAATAGTATATTTTAAATTTAAGGATTCTGGCCAATAACAAGTATCAGATTTACATCAATTTTTATAAATGCTGGTTTAACATCACCCTTGGGTATGGCAAACAATTAAGGGTTATCATAACATTTTCTATAAGCTTTTCAAAATAAAAGTGGAATTAAAAATATACATAAGACTTCCAGCCAAGATGGAGGCATAGGTAGATACACTTTGCCTCCTTGCACAACCAGAAAAAGGACAACAACAAATTTAAAAACAAAAAATTACCAGAATTGCCAGAAAACCAAACTGTATGGATGTCTGACAATCAAGGAGTTAAAACAAGAAACATTCATTCAGACGGGCAGGGAGGGCAGATATGGGCAGCCGGGGTGGAGAGGACACATAGCAAGATGGTGGCTGGTGGACTGGGCAGTCCCATATTTGCACACAGATAAACCAGTCGGAGCAACTAGGGAGCGAGATAGACCATGCAACCCAGGTTTCCAGTGTGGGGAAATAAAGTCTCAAAACCTTTGGCTGTAAAAACCTGTGGGTGTTGCAGTGGCAGGAGAAACTCTCAGCCTCACAGGAGAGTTCACTGGAGAGACGCACAGGGTTCTAGAATGCACACAAACCCACCCAACCAAGAGTCAGCAGCAGGAGGCCCCCATTCACTTGTGGGTAGAGGGGTAAGTGACTGAAAGCTGTGAAAAACCAAGCAAGTGGCATTGTTCCCTCTTGGAACCCTCCCCACACACACAGTGTCACAGAGCAGCAACCTAGGTCACCCTACCCTGGCGCGTACCTAAGGTTCCTACCCTTACAACATAACAGGTGCGTGGAAACAAAAAAAATATATAGTGCAAATGAAAGAACAGATCAAAGCTCAAAAAAACAGAACTAAGTGATAAAGAGACAGCCAACCTATTAGATGCAGAGTTCAAAACAATGGTAATCAGGATGCTCACAGAAATGGTTGAGTATGGTCACAAAATAGAGGAAGAAGTGAAGGCTATGAAAAGTGAAATAAAGGGGACCAAGAGTGAAGGGAAGGAAACCAGGACTCAGATCAATGGTTTGGAACAGAAGGAAGAAATAAACATTTAACCAGAACAGAAATGACAATTCAAAAAAATGAGAAGAGGCTTAGAAACCTCCAGGAACACTTTAAACATTCCAAATAATAGGGGTGCCAGCAGGAGAAGAGGAAGAACAAGAAATCAAAAACTTACTTGAAACATTATGAAAGAGAACTTCCCCAATCTGGTGAAGGAAATAGACTTCCAGGAAGTCCAGGAAGCTGAAAGAGTCCCAAAGAAACTTACACCAAGGCACATCATAGTTACATTACTCAAGATTAAAGATAAGGAGAGAATCTTAAAAGCAGCAAGAGAAAAACAGTTACCCACAAAGGAGTTCCCATAAGACTATGAGCTGATTTCTCAAAAGAAACCTTGTAGGCAAGAAGGGGCTGGAAAGAGGTATTCAAAGCCATGAAAGGCAAGGACCTACACCCAAGATTACTCTATCCAGCAAAGCTATCATTGAGAATGGAAGGGCAGATCAAGTGCTTCCCAGATAAGGTCAAGTTAAAGGAGTTGCTGGTCACCAAGCCCTTATTATATGAAATATTAAAGGGACTTACCCAAGAAAAAGAAGATGATCAAAAATATAAATAGTAAAATGACAACAAACTCACAACTATCAACAACTGAACCTAAAAAAGACAAAACCAAAAACTAAGCAAACAACTACAACAAGAAGAGAACCACAGAAATGGAGATCGCATGGAGGGTTATCAGTGGGGAGGAGGGAGGGGAGAATGGGGAAAAAGGTACAGGGAATAAGAAGCATAAATGGTAAATGGACAGGGAGAGGTTAAGAATAGTATAGGAAATGGAAAAGCCAAAGAACTTATATGTGTGACCCATGGACATGAACTAAGGTGGGGCAATGCTCGGGGGGTGGGGTACGAGGTGGACGGGAATAAAGAGAAGAAAAAAATGGGCCAACTATAATAGCATAATCAACAAAACTTATTTTAAAAAATTAAATATAAAATAATTTTTTAGGGAAAGGGAACAAAGGGGAGAAGAAATTTTCACAAAAAAAATCCATAAATATTTGTTACATTGAGAAATTTGGGGATCATTTAAGTGGGTCTAAAAAGTTCAGCTTCTTAGGTCAGAGAACTCGATTCCCAGGGCAGGGCCCCAGAAATCCCAGAGAAGGCTGTAGAGGTAGGCAATAAACGAAAGGGTCACTCAACACTACTACATGAGATAGCTTGTCTAACCAGGTGGCTCAGTCGGGTCAAAGAAAACATAGACCTGCTTGACAAAGACCAAACCTGGGGTGGAGGTGTTTGGCCGTGAGAAGCAAGGGAGGGAATCAACCTCTGCCCCACAAATGACTGCATTTTTGGAATCAGCTGGGTTGGCTTGTTCTTACTTTGGAAGTCTAACAGCCAGCCAGCCCACTCTCCCGCAAACACTGAGTAGGACACAGCCTCCGGGCTCAGCTCCGGCGGAGCCACAGGGACTCTCAGTAGATGTTTGAAGGGCTGTGGGGACAGGACGTGCTGGCACTGACTGCACTGCAGTGTCTCTTCAAACGCTCCTCTGAGGGCCGGCGGTAGAAGACAGTGTCGTGACCCTCTTCTACCCCTTGATCCTTCTCCCAGCTTTTCATTTGTTCTTCTTTTATAATCCCCCACTGCCTTAGCAAAGGGAAAAATAAAAAGAACAAAGCTGACCAAAACAATCAAAGATCTCTAAAACCCAGGAAATTTCTCCTAATTTTAGCCAAAATGATTCTGTCATATAGCATTCTTTTAGCAATCAGAGGAAAAAATACCCAGCTTCTCTAGGCTTCAGAGACTGGGGAAAGATACTGAGAATAAAATGACACAGGCAGTCTCTTTCCAATTCAATTGTAACACAGCACCATACTTTCCGAATAAACTGTTATAAAGTCAAAGTTTCTAAGACTCACAATAGATTCACAAGTTGTTCTTTGGGAGAGAAGAAATGGAGATTATTGTTGTCAGGGCCTACAAGAAGGACTCCACCCCCAAAATGTGTGTGTACATGTGTCTCATGTCCTAGAGCTAAACAACCTGGCTGGTAAACAAGTCTCAGGCCTCAAAGGGTCCTGGGGGAGGCAGCCGCGGGCTGGTAAATGTCACTCTGAAGACCAGGGAAGTGGAGGTAAGCCAGGTCTCTCCCGTTTCTACTGGGCTGACCTCTCCACAGGGGATGGTGAAAGGTCAGGTAGCCCCTTCATTTTTAACCTCAGGGACGGAAAATGCCTGAAACCAGGATAATGCATGAAGGAAAGGAATGTTCTCCAAGGCCCCTGAGCAAAGGCTCCAGGTGGCCTTAGGACTCAACTCCCAATGCCACTCAGGCTCCTGCCCAGGCTGCCCGGTCCCGAGCTCTGCCCTCACTGTTCCCTGTGCCCCTCTCCTCCACTCTCCTCCAGGCTGTCGGGGAGGCGGGCAGCAGGGTCCTGCTGGGGTGGGGAAGGAGGCTAGCAGGGCAGGTCCAAGGAACCCTCACCACTGGGGTGGGGCGGGCGGAGGAGCGCTTAAACTGTCCCTACCCCCGCCCCCGATAAAACAGTAGCCTTTCTACAGTGATGGCAAAGCAGAAAATTACCAGTCGGTTGGTAGGTAAGAAACCAAATTTATTACCTTTACGAAAAGTAGTGTAGGGGTATCCATGTTCAGGATTTTAGATTGTATGAAAACGAAATACATGAAAGTCAGGAATGATCTAGAATGGGAAAATACGAATAGCATATATAGATGGTTGCTGGAACTATTAGTTCCTGTTACTTGACTATAAAATGGCAGATGGGAAGAAGATGCAATTTTAGGAATCCAACAGAATTTCTTCAATGGGTCCCCCCTACCCTGTCACCACCTACAGTGTTCCAGCAACTGGCAGATGTTCAGAAACAGTCGCTGGGGGCTACTTTGTATCTTTAAGCTGAAATTCCTGCATGGATTTTTAAAAAATGTGTAAGAATCTTTGGACAGGACCAGAGAAACACGGAAGCCTATCAAGATAGCGAATGATTGAGTTTTAGAAGCAGGCCTGCTGAACGAAAGCACTCAAGTCACACTGCTGCTTGTAGTAGGGCTTTTCAAAGCAACTTACATGAACTCCTTACACTTCAATATTACTTTTCTTTCAGGAGCTCAAATTATTTTACATGTGTCTTTTCAATATTCTGTGAAGCAGAGTCAGCTGTTATCATTTCCCTTTATAATTAGGAAAGCAAATTACTTGCTTTGAATCACAACGAGATTCAATATCAGGTTTGAACTCTGGGTTCCTCCTTTCCACTGGTCTCTGCTGTTTAAATACTCTGGGGCTTCTCTGAAATTGCCACTTATTAAAGCCTTGAAGAGATCGGCATCATAGTTCTTGGTAGGAGGACCAAAACCAATCTTTCTCTTTCCTCTAGAACCTCTGCTGCACAACTCAAAAGACTCTAAATGTTAATTCTTTTGTTTGCTGACATAAGTCCTTATAAGGAAGCTTCTCCTTTAGTTTTCAGATGAATGAGCCTAAGACCAGTTTGCTGGTTCCCAAAATAACTGCAACATGGCCAGCAACCAGGGATAAAACAAAAGACTGGATCTTTAAACCACAGACTCTCTACCTTTGCCAGAAAAGTTGTGACTCCTGATATTCAACCTGCAGGCTGGGACAATAGATGGTTTCACTGGTTAACAGGCCAATCTCAGACAACAAATAATGCAGATTAATTTGCCTAGGCAGTCATGAGTTTGGGATCATGACTTAAAGGTGGGTTAGCATTGGATTAAAGGTGAGTTAGCAGCTGTGTTCTAAGACTTTAAAGAAATTTTGAACGCGGTGGAATTTTTTCTTACAAGATAAATATTGATCAGGATGAAAACCAGCTTCTTTAAGGCTAGTCATTATT